CCTTTGTGAACATCCACGTGGGGATATCACCCATGGTGCTGGTCGCACGTTTTGGAAGCGCAGAGTGGGTCTCCTCTCCCGCTGAGTTCACTTCTTTGGCTTCCACCCTGCCGATTCCTCCCATTTTTCCCCTTTTCAAAAGCGCGCGCGCACCTCTCCCCACTTGAAATATCCTCCGTAGGGACATCAAGTCGGACAGGACAAACCCCACGCTGTTGTAGCTGAGCGTAGGGCTCCAATTGAATCGCGTTCTGTCCGTGCCAAAAATTTTGGCGTTGCGATTTTCTCGCAGGAAAAGCAAAAAGGCTTCCACATTGTCTATGTAATTTTTAAAGTGCTTAAAAATGAAGGCCAGATAATTCGGAAGGGAACTTGGAATGTAATACTTGCTCGTAAAGAGAATTTTAAAAATTTTAATCAAATTGATCGTTTCCTTTAGCCAATAAGACTTCTCATCAAATATATATTTTTTATCAAACAGGATGACATTTTTGCAATTCTCATTTATCTTATTTTCCAGCACATTGAGGATGTACTGTGCGTATGCTTCCCTTTCGAAATTTTTTAAAAAATTATGAACATGTTCAGAAATTATGAACTGTTCATACTTTTTTCTTCCTTTTTTTCTTCTTATTTCGTTGAGAAAGCTCGTCGTTTTGGTGTAATTTTCGATGAAGTTGTCGCAGTAGGTGAGGAGAAAAATTTCGTGGAATTTCTCCTTGATGATTTGCAGCAGACTCTGCACAATTCCCTTGGCGCAGAACAGCGCGCCTGGGTCCACTTCGTCCACGTGCCTGTTTATCTCCGCGACGCGTTCGTCTTCCAGCAGGTGCCTTCTCGCGTGTGTGAGGAAGGCGTCGTAGGACTCGAACGGGAGGTCTGCCTGCAGAGGGGAGGGTTTAAGCATTGCAGTGTGGAAGTGTGGGAGCAGTGTGAAGCGTGGCGCGGTGACGGGTGCATCTCTCTCTACTGCCTGAGCCTCCGACGACACCTACCAGGCTGTCCACAAAGATCTCGCGAAACAAATCAGTGAAGGCGTCCATCCGGTTGAGCAGGTAGGAGGCAGTCACAACGCCATGCAGGCACTGATCCAGAAGGAAGTTGCCACTAGCGTCCCTGCTGCAGCGGACAGGGAGGGCATCCTTCACCACTCGAAGGAAGACATAACAAACCCGATGAAGGTGCGAACCAATCTCAGTCATAATCCTTCTTAAACATTCGTTCATCTGTTTAAGGGAGTTATTCTTAGCAGAATGGATTGCGTCTTCGCTACATTCGGATGCCCTCCCATATTTATCTAGGAGGTTATTCCAGGCAGGTAATGAGCTAGCTATTTTGCACATGGTTTTGTAATTATTATATAGCAGGGCCTTTATCTCCCATGTGGCTTTGGCGACAAGGACAATTCTTTCGATGACGTAAAAGAACAAGTTAAAGTTATTGATCCTAACATGTTGGATAAGAAACTGTTTTGTTCTCTCGAAATGGAAGTCCTCTCTGTGGAGCTCATTATACATACTGATCAGTGATAGAAATTGCTTATTCTGATTTAACATTTTTATTTTTTTGTGTAATTTAGTTAATAGCTCCTCCACCTGTACGTTATTCTTCAAAACGTTTTTTAAAAACGACATGTTGATTTTGTCTACCAAGAGTTGATATTTATCTGTATGGATATGAAGCACTTCTCTGAGCAGGACGTGAATAAACGTCTTGGACAATTCCACTTGTCTCTTTAAGGGGGGCATCATTTTTTCCATGAGATTTAAGTTGGAGGGGAGACACATAAACTCTTGTGCGTTTTTTTTTAAAATTTTGATGATGTCACTGTGAATTATATTTTTGATATATTCAAGGTCATTCTTTATTTGGATGATGTTTTTTTTATTGGTCGCTTCCACTACGTAGGCCATTGGATCGCCTCTAATTTTGGCAACGTCTTCGTTGCTCAGTTGCTCGTTCCTTCCACCGCTGTCATTTTGGTCTGTTGCGCGCTTCATCGTGTAAGCAGTGCGCCCCTCTGGGGGAGAAGCAATACGGATCGTCCACTCGGCTCATCAGACGAGTAAACGGCACACGGAGAGGTATGTATTTTGCACCGCTAGTCATAGGAGGAGATGTTCTCCCAGCAGGTGTTATGCTACATTGGTGTATGTGCCCCGGCTGGGTTCCCACGATTTCGTCGCCTCATCGCTTCGTGGCTTCATCGTTATGTCATTTCTTTATCGTCATTTTTCCTCGTCTCACTTTATTTTACTTAATTATTATTTTTTTTTCTGCACTGATGAGGCAAAAAACTGCCCGCTTCCCCTGCACAAGGCGACCCTGAGGGGTACATCCCTTGCGTGCCATAAGATAAGTTTTAATTTTGGCAAGGGATGGTTACCTGAGCTGTTGCCTGAGCGCACCCGAGGGGGGAGCGAAAGGAAGAAAAACAAAAAAAGTAAATCGAAGCAAGGTAAAGCAAGGCGGAAAAAAATAAAGCCAAATAAAACGAAATGAAGCGGAACAAAGTGACGTGAAAACCCACAGCACAGGTGTGCCTACCTCGCGAAATCATAACGATTGCGTTTTTTCCCACCAGGCAGGATCTTTTCATGCCGCACAATTCGGAGGGTGATCTCACGGGGATGATGCCCCTAACCCGGTGGACTCTTCCCCCCCCACGATAAGCACGTCACACATTCTGGGATGAAGAGAGAGAAAAAATTCACCCCTATTGTGTGACTTGCTGCACCTCCAACTTTGCATTTTTTGAATCCCCCACGGTGACCACTTATGTGGGGACGTAAAAGGTAACCATAGGGAGGATACCATACCGCTTCCTATCGGGGGAACCTTATATGCGCGTGGGAAAGACAGAGTAGAATCAACAGAACAATAACATCGCTTTGCAGCGCGGTGCGCTTCCGGTTCTGCAATCTGCACAGAGGTAGCTCTACAGGGGAGGGTTGGTCTTGCATGAATTAAAAAAAAAAAAAAAAAAAGGGGCAAGTTGCGTAAGAATTCAAAATGGGCGCGCTACTGGACACATTAAAATGGGACTGTCATATATGCACACGTTTATCGGGACGTAGTTTAATGGATAAGTGGAAGACAAAGTGAAGCTACCGCACTTCCACCCCGTGTGTGCGAGTCCCTCTGGCTGCGTCTTCCCCTAACACGTTCCTGACTCGTCCATCTCGCACGGCGCTCCCATCGGACACGCAGCTGCAGCCTGGGGGCACTTCTCAGGGGTGGCACGTGGCCCAGGTATCTTTTCTCATCACACGGAATGGGTACGCGGGTACCAGTGCAGTGAAGGCGCAGCGAAGGGGTAGCGGCGAGGGCTCGTCGGACAGGCACACCGTTGGTAACAGCGCTCCCAAGACGGCTACGCTAGAGTGCGGCACGGTAGGCCTCTCCACGCTACGCTCCGAGAGGCCACTCTCCCATTAGGTGAAATAATTCAGTGTGCTCTTCTTCTTAGAGAGGACGGAGGTAATGCCCTCGACGAAGTCTTCGTGATCGATCTCGGTGGCGCCCCGTCTAAGGGCAATCATTCCAGCCTCCACACAAACAGCCTTCAACTGGGCCCCATTAAAGTCGTCCGTAGATCGAGCTAATTCCTCAAAGTTGACATCCTTATGGACATTCATTTTTCGAGAATGGATCTGCAGAATTCGTGCTCTGGATTCTTCATTGGGGTGAGGTAGTTCTATTTTTCTATCGAGTCGGCCTGATCGGAGGAGAGCCGGATCTAGTGTGTCTGGTCTATTCGTCGCAGCAATGACTTTAACCGTGTCGTCTGTGCTGAACCCGTCCAACTGATTTAGTAACTCAAGCATGGTTCTCTGCACCTCCCTATCACCAGACAGTTCGCTGTCGAATCGTTTGGTTCCTATTGCATCCAACTCGTCGATGAAGATAATGGCCGGTGCTTTTTCCTTGGCTAAGTTAAATGCATCTCTCACCATCTTCGCCCCATCACCAATAAACATCTGCACAAGCTGCGGCCCAGCTAACTTTAAAAAAGTGGCATTGGTCTGGGAAGCACAAGCTCTAGCTAGTAAGGTTTTCCCTGTACCAGGAGGACCATGCATTAACACTCCCTTGGGAGGTTTGATCCCGATTTTTTCAAATTTATCCTTATGTAACATAGGCAATACAATTGCCTCGACCAGTTCTTCAATCTGTTTATCCAACCCTCCAATGTCTGAATAATCTTCCGATGGCTTCTCTATAACCTCCATGGCTTTTACTCTGTTATCATACTCGGGGGGTAATTTATCAATAATGAGGTAGCTGTCTTTGTTCACTCCGACGAGGTCTCCTGGCTTCAATTCGGACGCTTCTATCAGACCGGGAACAGGCAAGAATATAGTTTGTCTGGTAGAGGTCTTTATGACCATACACTTTCCTCTCTTTTCATCATCGATGTCGCGAAAGCCTTCATCGTTGTTTCCCTTTGAATTGTTCACATATAGGTCATACTCATCCTTCGGTTCATTTGCATCCTCGTCGTCTTCCAGATCGAGTGATTCTACGACATTGGCAACTAAGTAAGGCAGCATCTTATTTAGATGTATCTTCTCCACGTTGTCCTTAATCTTTTCCTGCAGACTCTTATATTCATTCTTCAGCCTCGTGTGCTCATTTTTTAATATTTTAATTTCTGTGTCGATGAGGCTGATCCTTGTCCTTATTTCGCTGTTCGTGAGCTTCTCGATTTCTTCGACGCATACATCTTTGTTGGGGAGGATGTCCTCGACGTTCATTTTGGGGGGGAGGCGTGAAGCGTGAAGCGGCACAAGTGGGGGGCTCAACTGGGGGGCTCAACTGGAGTGCAAAGCGCTTATCGCTTATTGCTTATCGCTTACCGCTGAAGGGAGGGCCGAAAAACCAAATTAGCAAACAGCCGCCCCTTCCTACTAAACGTATCCCCCCTGTATTTGACCCTTCAGCGCGCACACCTTTCTCGATTCTGAATCTGCCCTGGCGACGTGGGGCGACAGCAACCGGGGCATAATTCGACAAATCTGTATCGTTTTGACTTCTCTCTCGAGAGGGCTGCCTTGTTCTCGTATAGCGGTGTGTAGGAATGCTCCTTTTCCTCTTAACTTGGGTGCTACCCCTCATGCGACGGGAGAGAAGATCAAAAACTGTCGGCAGGGATAAACAAAACGGTTAACATGTTAAACTGGTAAGATGTTAAAGTGTTCCCCTTTTCCCACGTGGGACGAGTTGTATTCGCTTCTCAATCTAAAATGAAACACTTACTATAATATGCATTTGGCCAAGTCACATCGCGTCGTGTCACCCTATGTGCTACCTCTCTCTTCGTCGTTAGGCCCTCCAAAAAGAAAGAAGCATGAGGAGGAAGCAAAACAGGATAGGAGGGAAGGAAAAAAAAAAAAAAAAAACAAAAAAAAAATGCAAAATATACACTTCCGTAGGAGGCAAGAATTCATTCAAAATGGTTTTTACTCAAAGTGTGGCCGTTTCTTTTTATTTTTATTTTATTTCTTCTTTGTGAGGCAAATCTGTATGCATTGCCAACCTGTGCAATTTTCTGCATTGCGCCAAGCACACCCCCACATAGTTCGCACGGAAGTGTGCTCACTGTGAAAAGAAGGAAAAAAAAAGGTACGTATATGAATATCCCCATACCATTACTCATAATGCATACCCATGTGAAAATCCTTCTTTCCTTCTCCTCTCCTTCATTTTGGTGGAAGCGATTTTTTCAAATTTCCCCCCTCCTAACTTTTGTAACATTCGTGCGGAGCCACCACCGCGACCTCCCCCCCTTTGTACGTGCACTTTTGATTTTCCTTTTTTCCTTTTTTTTCCTTTTTTCTCTCTCTCTCGATTTTTCGAGCGTCTGTCCGGAGGGGCTACTCGTTGGGCAGCCTTACGCGACGGGAACAATTGGAAGCGAGCCAACGTTCCGCCCTCCGGCCATTCTGCCCCTTCGCAAAAATGAAGAAATGAAGAAATGAAGAAGTACAAAAATGTTTACAACCGTGGGGGAATTTTTTTTTTCAAAGTTCGTAATTCGCGTCTTTAAAAAGTTTAACCGCATTATCATTTAATTAAAAAAAAAAAAAAAAAAAAGTCGACATGCATACACATGCGTTTCTACACAGAGGGGACACAATCATAACAGAGTTGGTTCCCGGCAACCGTTCGATTTATCCTTCCCCATTCCTATTTCGTGACCGACATGCACAGGTGCCATGCATGTAGGCACACGCCAGTGAGGGAAGACTGGGCTTTCACATCATCCCTTCGATATGCGCTCTTCGATCTCCGTCTTCCCACCTGGGTCGGCAAACCACCTGTGTAGTCTTCCTTCAAATCTGTAAAGTGGGACAAAAGGGGAATGAGCTATATTTGTGTACTACTCTAATAAGGGGCAGCACGAAGAGGTGGAAAACAAAACACATGGGTAAGGAGGGAGGAAGAATCCCTTCCTGCACATAGGCAATAGCGCTATGCAAAATAAATGTATAACTGCATTTGTCCCCCTCAATGCGGTATACACTTGTTTGTTTTATTTTTGGACCGCTGCGTGGGTGTTGCCTCTTAAGCGATGGAGTAACTGCTCAGCAGAGTCCCCCCTACACACATAGACATATATACACTCTCCTTTTCTGTACGACGCGACGTAACAGTGAGAGCATTCTTTGTATGGGAAGACTCCCCGCACAGAGACAACACTTGTTCGGGTCGCACTTTCCGCGTCAGACATCTAAGTGAAGGCTACCTAGAAATTCATCGAGTCGTTCTTATTCAACTGAACTCTCAACTGCGAACATATGAGAAGCTTTGTCATCATTCGCGAAAAGTGCGTCTTCGTGTAGGTGCGGCCTGGGGGTCCGTCGGCGCAGTGGCTCGAACGCTCCCCATTCCTCTATTCGTTTGGTAAAGGGGTGTAAACACAATCACAAGTACGCTCACACAAATGGAGAAGCGCTACACACACTTCAGCTCTGGGGTCAGACATCTAAGTGAAGGCTAGAAAGACAATTCATCGAGTTGTTCTTATTCAACCCAACTCTCAACTGCGAACATGAGAATGTTTGTCATCATCCGGCAGAGCAGAGGCGTCGCGATGTTGCAGGTGTGTTTGTATGGGGAGCTGTGTTTGTATGGGGTGCTGTGTTTGTATGGAGTTTAGGGGTTTCAGGGTTTGCCTCTTTGTTTGCCTCTTTGTTTATGTGTGTAGAGGTTATCACGCCCGAGGTACAGCTGCCCTCTCTGTTAGGAAGCTCACTAAAGGGAGTATCCTCAACGGGGACGGCGACGGGGGGACCAACACTTATGCAGAATGGAAGTCATGAAAAACGCTACGCGCCAAGTCGCACTGTGAATGTGAGATTACCTTTGAGGCTCTTCCGATATGGCGACGTAACTATACAGCCTGACCCCTCGAGGGATAGAAGCACAAACTGGTAGAACTGCCAAACTGCCTGGCCTAGCCCGACTAGTCGAACATGCCAAATCCCATGAAACCGTCCTCCTCCTCTTCTTCTTCCTCCTCCTGCTTCTTGGCCTCCTCCTTCTTTGGCGCATCTGCCTTGGCCTCAGCCGCGGGCGCAGCAGCAGCAGCGTAGGCATCCGGATTCTCCACCATATCTTTGATCTTCTTCATCAGAGGGAACGTATAATCGGTGTCAATTACCAACGCAACGATGTTCTTAAATGCTTCAACAAAAACATGTGGGTAGGAGGCCTCTGTTATCACACCGATGGATCTAGACAATGCTGCGACGTTGGAGACACCCTTGCTGAATTTGGCTAAAATGTCCTCATCCGTTATGTCAAGCACCTTGGCGTCGTAAATAACACCATCATCGTACACAGTTCTGACGTCCACACCGTAAGAAAACGGCTTCATGTTAAATTTCTGCAACAGAGTAGCCGATGATGCTGTGACCTTTTCTCCTTGCTTAATCAGATGCACATGTTCCTGAATTTCAATTTGCCCCTTGACAATTTTGGTGGATATTCCCAGCGATTGAAAGAAGGAGGTGTGAGATGGATCCATCCCTGTTGGTCCTGGTGGGATGAAAACATCAATAGGGGCTATAACACCTAACCTTGCTGGTGCAGGCGATTTGTTCTGTAAAATTAAGTTCCTCACTTCGGTCAAATCATCTTTGCAAAAGACAAAACCCATGTTCAACTTTACCAATGGTAACAACTTCTCTATCTGGGGAACAGCTTGTAAATTCTTCTTCAGTGCCGTTCGAATTCTCGTGTTTTTTCCCATTAATATTGTCGCCTTTCCTCTCAAACTCTGACGTACACTGGCCATCTGATTCGATCCTACATTGTCCACATGTACAATTAATATTTTCGTATACTGCTGAATCAGTGAACTGAGCTTTTCTATGTATATCTGTTTCTTCTGTGCTTTGGATAACTTCGCCATTTTGCTCTACTCGATAGGATTAAAAAGGAAAGGGGAAAAAATGCCCGTTGCGGAAAAGAGAAGTAGATATATGTATTGAAATGCTGGATTGTTCTTTTTTCTTTATGGAGACTGGCAGTACAATCAATGTCTGACAATCAGTTTAACCTGAACGGGGGGTAAGCCAAAAAAAAAAAAAAAAAAATGCAAATAATTTATGAACAGGTCAGGTAAAATGGCGAAAAAAAGCGCACATTTTATGAACACAGCGTGGAAAAAAAAAAGAAATAGATACATACATATATATAGATATATATGTATATGCTCATGTTATACGAAGTGGACGAATGATTCCCTGATGTAGGGTCGTCCAATCGAGGTGGACAAGGGGGCAAGCACTGTTCGTGTGGCCTAATATATGTTTCGCCACGCGAACAGACCTTTGGGGGTAGAATTTGCCCCACACAAGGGCACAGCAAATGCATAACGCTTTTCCGCGAGAAGGGTGAAGCGTGAAAGAATAAACAAGCACCACGCGTTAGTATACAGAGGGAGTAGCGTCCCTGTGACCCGTTGTACATACATATTTTGCGCAAAACAATCTCATACACATGCGCGCGAGGATGGAGGCACCGTTTGGGTACCCCTGCGTGTTGTAAGATAAACAATCGCCCGTTCGGCATACGTTATTTAAAGAGGCGAATCACGCAGAGGGGATCCTCACTCATCGGTAATCGTAAAACGCATTGCGACTATCGAATTGATAAGGGAGAAAAAAAAAATAAAAGCCGCACTGAGGAGTTATTCCTGTCGGGGGTGGAACATAACTTTCCCACAACAGACGTGTACACGGCCTTCATATGATAAACACAGGCATGCGTAACATTCTCACACGGTTAATTTAATACTCTCGTAGGGAAACCTTCCCGCGCCATGCATATGTAATTTCATCTTCTCTAATCACATCGTATCACATCTCATCGCATCGTGTTGTACATGTTAGCAGCGCTGCGAGCTGTTCCTTTTGGCTTACCATAAATTGTATGTTCCTCTGGTGGGGTGAAAAATGCTTTAAGGGAGAGGGTGACTATGTTCGCAAATTTGTGAAAGCAGAGTGTTGCGCTCGTCACATCTGTTTTTTTGCTTTTTATTTTTTATTCTCCTTTTTGTTTCTTTTTTTTTGTTTTATTTTGCTCCTAATTTTTTGGCATTTTCCATAGCATTTAATTTTTTTTTTCTTCTGTAACTTTGAAGAGTGAATCAACACGACGATTTAAAGGGTTCCTTTTTTTTTTTCGTGAGAGGTGGGCTTTTTTTTTTCCGCTTATTTTGGGCAAGCCAATTTTTTCCTTTTTTTCGCTTTGCGTTTGTGCCTTACCTCGTAGTGGAAAAAGAGGACGCTGCCATGAAAATAATCTTTTGCTGTGCGGTCAAAATTAATGAGCGACTGTCGTGACTCCCGTGAGTACCCCCCCTCCTCGGATTGGATGGTAAAATACGGGTCAGGTAAAATATGCTTAAGAGGGGGGCACTAGCAAAGAGGAGCAAACAAGATGGCTTGCATTAAAAAGTGAACACTTTGGGGTGGTTCTTCCCCCGACAAAGTTGTTTTCCGAGGTGCGAACTGGCGCATTACGGAGGACCCAACCGCAAGAGGCAGCACATTCGAAGATATGCAGCAGGGATCACACAAATAAACCCCGCCAAGTGCGTGTACATCCCATGGCATAAAATGACAACAACTAGGAGTGGGCCGCCACTTTATGCCGCGTTCAAAAGTGGTGCGTTAAGGAGCGGCGCGTAAAGAGTATGCTCGCATGGGATGACCACGGCACGACACTTACCTCATACATGTAGCATTATAAAGTATATATATCTCTCATTATGGCCCACGCTATATGTTTGCTCCTAGATGCGAGTTGAAGGGGCTGAAGCTTTTTCGCATTTCCGTGCCTGCGGCGGCATACGTATCCGCGGCCCAAGGACACACCCTGATTGATGGCCGGGAGCAGGTCGACACGCTTGGTCGGTGAAGCGATGGGTATGGCTAAGCGGATGCGATGCGTTTTTTTTTTTTTTTACCGGGAACTTCTTTCCACATCCCGAGGCACATAACGCGCGTCAGATTTTTCTTGCGGAACGGAACCGCCCCCCTCTTTCGGCAAGAATTGGGAAAAATTCGCTTAATTGCGCCAAAAAAATCAGGAAAAAATCGACAAAATTGCGGCAACAAGTCGACATAAATTGCAGCATCTTTTTGGGATTTTTTTACCCCAATTTACTGAAAAGAATTGAGAAAAATTGAAAAGAATTCAAAGAATCATTTTTATGGAAAATTTCCAAACCAGTTACCGCAAAAGAGAAGGGACCAAGATTACCTTTCTGCGCAATCGTCTCGTTCACCAGAGAGAAACTCCGCCTTCTGTGTTGTACAGCAGAGCAGATAAGAAGCGGCCAGCCTGCTCCAACGAATATCCCGCACCTCATATAATATACCCCCCTCGCTCAATTGAGAAGCCAAAATGCCGAAGCAAATCACCGACATCCGCAAGTTCCTCAAAATCAGCAGGAAGCCCGACACCACGGCGGTCATCATAATGAAGAAGAAAAGCAAAACGAAGAAAAACACCATAATCACCAAACTGAAGCTTAGAACGAAGAGGTATCTTTACACGATGGTTTTTTCGGATAGGAAAAAAGCAGAGCGAATTGAGAACTCGCTGCTCCCAAGCCTGAAGCGAATTTACTATCCCCAGAAGAAGGTCGTACAGGCATCCAAGAAGATGAAATTTAGCAAGGGCTAAACGGGTGCGTTCTCCACACAGGGGAAGCGGAAGAACAGGAAAGCCAAAACAGATGGGGAAGCAGATGGGGAAGCAGATAGAGAAGCAGATAGAGAAGCAGATGGGGAAGCAGATAGAGAAGCAGATAGAGAAGCAGATGGGGAAGCAGATAGAGAAGCAGATAGAGAAGCAGATGGAGAAGCGAATTGGTAGAGACGGAACCTGCGATCCTGCTTATCAGTACCGACCAGTCCACACATGCGTAAAAGGAGAAACGTACGAAGTTGCAACCGTCCTGCGAACTGTTGACACGGTTGGGCAGTAGGCCCAAAATGCGACCTGTGATGCGTGACCATCGTTCTGTATAGCAGCTCGCCTGTGGAGTTCCTTTTTTTCCTCCACCCAGACTCTTGGCTAATATATACAAATTGTGCAAATCATGTGGAAGGAAAGGAGAGGAAAGAAGAGCCTTGCTTTGCTTCCTTGCTTTCTTGCTCGCCTTTTTACTTCATTCCCTCGTTTTTCCCGTTCCAATTATATCATTTGCCCCTCCCATATAGCGACTTCTTTTTTTTTCACGCCATGTTTGTCACTCCGTTATGCTCCACGGTTTACCTTTTAAAATATAATCACTTGTGTGTACATGCGAAACGGGTAGCATCCCCGTTTTGTGAAAACTGCACCTGAAGGGAACGTCGTGCACGACTCCTTGTCCAGAACAAAAGATGAACTTTTTTTAAACGCGAAAAAGTCCGTAGAGTGAGGGGCCGTTATCATTATTCACTGCGCACGCAATATGGTGTATGATCGTTTGGGAGGCCCCTCTACCCCGTCACCATGCAGGGAAAAAAATTTCCCAAAACTGTTACAGTAGTTAAATCATTTTTCAAGTGTCGTGTGTTTTTTCCCAGTGAACAGGTCGATTGGGGGAGAACTTCCTCCCCACACCGGCATAAAGATCATTGCACATTTAGTTGTCCCCTTTTTTTCGTTTCTTTAATGCCATTTGGGTGAATCGACTGCAGAGGACAAAATTCCGCCGCGTTCATTTGGACTCTTCAAATGGGTGTTATCCTTTGAAGAGAATCAACAACGGGATAGCAAAACATTAAAGCTGCTTCACGCGATAAAAAAGTGGACTCCCTCTCACCGCTTCACCCCCGTAGGCACGAATTTTAATGTCACGTTGGCTATGTAAATGGTTACTTTGGTGGAGGGTGAGCAAACAGGTGTGTAACGCGCAACCGTTTGGGACGCTACGATCTGCGTTGCGCGAGGGTGACCCTCTTCCAGGACTTCGTCATTTCGTTGGCTCGAAAAGAAGTTGTCACTCCATTTGACGCGGCTGCCACGTTCAAAATATGAGCCATGTGAACGAATCGAAATAAGAGAGTGGTAAAAGCTAGTTGACGCAGTCCTCGACGAGGCACACCGACGGCATAAACGCATTTCTACACGTGTTTTAACTGCAAAAAGGAAGAAGCAGTGTACGCTGGACTATGCAAAAGGGACTACTCCCCCAGCGTGTATTTTTTTTTTTTTTTTTTTTTTTTTTTTTGAGAC